CGCCAAACTTTTTAATATCGACTTAAAGCTGGCGTACACCAAGCAAGAAAACAGGCATCTGTCCATGGCTTTCCCTGCCAAGAATGTCTTATATACCTGCCTGACACAAAGATAATTATGTTGCTTGAAATTGAAAATATATTTTTTTTAATTGCCTGAACAACCAACAACGGTTTCTGTGAAATGACTTGGTGGAGACTATGCACATTAGCCACACCCCATCGATGGGGAGGGGAAAAAAAATACCTCATAAGAGCTATCGACAAATTGCATGTCAACGTTAGCAATATCTACTTCCGTGGATCTAAAAACAGACGGTCTATGGAAAACAAATAATGGGGTTTTCCTTAATCTTTAAGTATGGATTTGGTCTCTTATATATGTGTTAGTGTATGAAAAATATAGCTTTTGGCATGTTTTTTTTTTAATGTTTCACAAAACCGCAGTGTATTTTTAATCCTTGATTTGTCAACGGCTAACTAAGCTCTCAACAAACGAAGAGCCCTCGGTCTCGCTACCTGGATTTTTAGTGCAGCTAATTTGGTTGTACGGGCAGCTAGCTGGGAATAATGGCAGCTACTGTAGCTAACTAATTTCTGTTAACAAGCTGAATCATATGGGCAGCTAGCTATGGAAAATGGCAGCTAGCTGATATAAAGGGATAGCTAGTTTCGGTAAGTCAAATAACGAACGGCTTGCCATAATATGACGCCCTTCAAACTGTCCTGTTATGCAGAATTAACTGACTTGTTGGTGAATATTGTATGATGTCAAAGCATATTGTAGCGTGCCAGCCAGTGGCTCAGTTTTACAGAAGCACAGTACTCTCTGAGACGCTCTCGTTTTAAGCATTCACTCTTTGTACTAAGGGGCCCGGGCGTTACGCTCGATGTGTAGTGGTTGACTTCACGCAGGCAACTTTATTATTTTCTCCGACACCACTTTTATTACAACTCTCCACATTACGCCTGTGACTTCAGCATTCTTTTGCTTGCCGCAGCTCGCTCGCCCCACTTCCTCCGATACAGTGAGGGAAAAAAGTATTTGATCCCCTACTGATTTTGTACGTTTGCCCACTGACAAAGAAATGATCAGTCTATTATTTTAATTGTAGGTTTATTTGAACAGTGAGAGACAGAATAACAAAAAATCCAGAAAAACGCATGTCAAAAATGTTATAAATAGATTTGCATTTTAATGAGGGAAATAAGTATATGACCCCCTCACAATCAGAAAGATTTCTGGCTTCCAGGTGTCTTTTATACAGGTAACGAGCTGATATTAGGAGCACACTCTTAAAGGGAGTGCTCCTAATCTCAGCATGTTACCTGTATAAAAGACACGTGTCCACAGAAGCAATCAATCAATCAGATTCCAAACTCTCCACCATGGCCAAAACCAAAGAGCTCTCCATGGATGTCAGGGACAATATTGTAGACCTAAACAAGGCTGGAATGTGCTAAAAGACCATTGCCAAGCAGCTTGGTGAGAAGGTGACAACAGTTGGTGCGATTATTCGCAAATGGAAGAAACACAAAAGAACTGTCAATCTCCCTCGGCCTGGGGCTCCATGCAAGATCTCACCTCGTGGAGTTGCAATGATCATGAGAACGGTGAGGAATCAGCCCAGAACTACACGGGAGGATCTTGTCAATGATCTCAAGGCAGCTGGGACCATAGTCACCAAGAAAACAATTGGTTACACACTACGCCGTGAAGGACTGAAATCCTGCAGCGCCCGCGAGGTTCCCCTGCTCAAGAAAGCACATATACATGCCCGTCTAAAGTTTGCCAATGAACATCTGAATGATTCAGAGGACAACTGGGTGAAAGTGTTGCGGTCAGATGAGACCAAAATTGAGCTCTTTGGCATCAACTCGCCGTGTTTGGAGGAGGAGGAATGCTGCCTATGACCCCAATAACACCATCCCCACCGTCAAACAGGGAGGTGGAAACATTATGCTTTGGGGGTGTTTTTCTGCTAAGGGGACAGGACAACTTCACCGCATCAAAGGGACGATGGACGGGGCCATGTACCGTCAAATATTGGGTGAGAACCTCCTTCCCTCAGCCAGGGCATTGAAAATGGGTCGTGGATGAGTATTCCAGCATGACAATGACCCAAAACACACGGCCAAGGCAACAAAGGAGTGGCTCAAGAAGAAGCACATTAAGGTCCTGGAGTGGCCTAGCCAGTCTCCAGACCTTAATCCCATAGAAAATCTTTGGAGGGAGCTGAAGGTTCCAGTTGCCAAACGTCAGCCTCAAAACCTTAATGACTTGGAGAAGATCTGCAAAGAGGAGTGGGACAAAATCTCTCCTGAGATGTGTGCAAACCTGGTGGCCAACTACAAGAAACGTCTGACCTCTGTGATTTCCAACAAGGGTTTTGCCACCAAGTACTAAGTCATGTTTTGCAGAGGGGTCAAATACTTATTTCCCTCATTAAAATGAAAATCAATTTATAACACTTTTGACACGCGTTATTCTGGGTGTTTTGTTGTTATTCTGTCTCTCACTGTTCAAATAAACCTACCATTAAAATTATAGACTGATCATTTCTTTGTCAGTGGGCAAACGTACAAAATCAGCAGGGGATCAAATACTTTTTTTCCCTCACTGTATCTCTCACTGTCTCTCCGCGTCGTCACCGTCTCTGTATCTCACTCTCGCTACGTCTCTGTCTCGCTCTGTCTCTGTCCCACTCTGTATCTCTGTCCCACTCTGTATCTCTGTCTCTCTTCTTGTCTCTCCTTGTCTCTGCTCGTCTCCTCTCTCCCTGTCTCTGTATCTCGCTACGTCTCTGTCTCACTCTGTCTCTGTTCCGCAACTGTCTCTGTCCCGCTCCTTGTATCTCCTTGTCTCTGCTCTTTTCTACTCGTCTCTGCACGTCCCTATCGCTCTCAGTCGCTCCTTGTCTCTGCTTGTCTCTGCTTGTCTCTGCTCCACTGCTGGCCTGTTCTGTCTCCTATGTCTTCTCGTTTCTCCGCGACCTGCTCCATCCCAGTCCCAACCACAACTCTCCTCGCTCTCTCGTCTCCCGAATATATTCCCGTTCTCATCAACAACCAATTAATTAGGCCGCGTGCCCACGACGCCCCGCGTCCCCCACACCTGTCGCTCGCCTCCCTCTATCACCAGACACTCCGGCGCCACTTCGCCCCTGACAACATCCCCGGCCAATCACAGCCATATATCACGTACCAACTTAATTGGGCCGTTTCTATTCCACAGTTCCCCGCTGCCGCACCTGGCCGGCCCGACGTGACCCCGCTGTCCATAACTCGCGCGTCTTTACCATCTACCCTGTATGCGCGTGTTAATCCACTACATATGTATGCACCCAGGGGCCTGGGGGCCCCAGTGGTCAACTCAGGCAGTAAACACCCAGGGGCCCGGGGGCCCTCGTGGTCCGCTCATGGTCTAAGCACAGAGGGGCCCAGGGAACCTCACACTGTAGGTGCCAAGGGGCCCAGGGACCCGAGTGGTCAGATCACGCTTTAAGTCCCAGGGGCCTAGGGATCCTAGTGGTCAGCTCACTCTTTAAACGCCAAGGGGCCTGGGAGCCATCACAACACTGTAAGCGCTGAGGGGCCCAGAGGCCCTAGTGGTCAGCTTACGTTTTAAACACCAAGGGGTTTGGGGGACCTCACATTGCAAGCGCTGAGGGGTCTGGGGGGCCCTGGTGGTTAGTTCACGCTATAAGCACCCAGGGGGCTAGTGGTCAGCTTGCGCTGTGCACACTGACGGCCCTGGCGATCAACTTCCTTCGGAAGTCGTGGGCCACGCACCACACGCGGCCTGAGGCTTTGGAGGCCCCTGGCCGTCCGAGGCCCCGGGGCACTGGCCCCACTTGCCCGGTCCATAATCCAGCCTTGGCCAACACCAATGAGGATTATTATCTGAACCGCTCCCGGGCCTCCCCCTAGGTTGACTCAGCCTGAAATGAGTACCTGGTGCAGTGTGCAAACTTCACCACTGCGGAGACAAAGGAAGACGGGCGGGGTGTTGGGCACCCACGCCCTCGTGTGACATGCAGGCAATCATAGGCGATACTCACAAACAGCACTCGCCCCAACAGAACTGTTACGGCTATGTGGGGGACGGATGTTTTTGTTTGATTTTACCGCTCATGTCGTCGCCTCGTGCTCCTCCTCCCACACTCGACCGCCTTTCCCCTCTCTTCTCTAAGCTCTTAACCCCTATCCCGCGTCCGCGTTCATATAGACCTCCTCGTCATCCCCAATTCTCCATTGTCCCCCCCCCAGCCCCCCCTCCTCACCCCCGCCCCCTCCCTCCCCACCCCTCTCCTTCCCCTGAGATCGAGCCAATTAAAAATAATGGTTCTCACTCCACCTGTGCTAAGAAGCTGTGCAGGTGGGGATTGAGATAGAAGACAAACAACAACGACAACTGCTACACGCCAGATTTACTTCATCAGTGCCGGGATTGTGTTTGAGATGCTTATGTTCAAGGCAGCGGATGAAAGCATTTAACTATATTTTATTTTCGGCGTCTGTTTAACATTGTGTCATTGTAACATCGTGCGAACATGTGTGCGCGTTTGGACATTTGCATTCACTCGTGGTGGGGAAAGGCGGCAGCAGCAATGGATAGCGCAATAAACTATTAGGTTAACAATCATTTTTATGCGCTACGAAGAAGGGCCATTGTACGAAACGTCGCCTATCACACATGTTTATTGCAAGGCCACAAACACACACACAGAGCTATTGGCTACACACGGCCAGGAGAGGCGTCGTGCACTCTTCCACACCAAACCGGCAGCTCGGCGTGCATCATACGGCAGACGTTCGACCGACGTTCACGCGCGGCCGCGTCGCCCCGCCACGGCGACGTGTATTTAGTGTGTTGTCCTTCTCCGGGCCCCTCCGATTAGCACGGTTTGGCTAAGTAGGGTGCGAAAGAAGTTCAACGTACAGAGAACACACATACACGAATCTCGAGCCCCTCCCCTCTCGCCCCCCAGGTGACGTCGTCGCCCCTCAGTGACGTCACCACCTTTCAAAAAAAAAGCCACGTTCAGCGCGTCGTCGCCTGGCCGTGGCTCCTCTCCGAGAGCCCTGCGTCCCTCCTGACCACTGCGGAGAAGACGCGGAGGCGAAAGATGTCGCGGAAGGCCGTGCGGAACGAGCGGTTGAACGAGGCGTAGAGCAGCGGGTTGATGGCCGAACTGCAGTAGCCGATCCACATAGCCACTCGGTAGGGAATGAAGAGGCCATCCACGGTGAAGGATATCATCGCCACCACGTAGTAGGGCAGCCACGACAGCATGAACGTGCCGATGATGGCACCCAGGGTCTTGGCCGCGCTGTGCTCTCGCTTCATGTTCTTCACGGCGCTCGAGTCGACCGCCGACGAGGAGGCAGCCTCGGCCGCCACCTTGCGTGACTGCCTGCGCGCCACGCGGTAGATGACGGCGTACATCAGCAAGACCACGTGGACGGAGGCGAAATAGGGGCCCATGCCGATGGTGACGAGGATGCCGAAGCTCACGGAGAACACGCAGTCGTCGGGGCACGAGACGCGCTCAATGTTGCCGCGTGACAGCGTCGGGCTGAAGCTCAGGAGGATGGGAGAGGAGAAGATCGCCGCGCCGAGCCAGCAGAGCACCAGCAGCGCCGCGATGGTGCGGACGGTGACGCGCGTCGGGTAGCGCAGCGGGTCGCAGATGGCCACGTAGCGGTCGTAGGCAATGCAGGTGATGTGCAGGATGGTGGCCGTGGTGAGGGTGTAGTCCAGGAAGTAGTGCGCGTTGCACAGCACGGACGCGTAGAACCAGCAGTCGTAGACGGTCTTCATCATGCTCAGGGGCATGATGAAGACGCCCACGAGCAGGTCGGACACGGCCAGGGAGAGGGCCAGGAAGTTGGCGTGCGTCTGCAGCTTCGTGAAGGAGGCAATGGCGGTGATGATGAGCAGGTTGCCGAGGATGGTGGCCGTGATGAAGATTGCGAAGACGACAAGAAGGACGAGGCGGACCTCGCGAACCTGGGTTGGTCCCGTGCAGTTGAAGTCGGCGAAAATCACGCACTCTGTTTGGACGTGGGGGGTGGAGGAGGTGTTCTGCATGTTGCGTCGAGTGTGTGCCTCGTTGGGTGTAGCTGTTGGTCGGGTTCTTTGGTTGACTCGGTAGTGAATCGGAATATTAGTTGGTCGACTTGTGAGTCCGCATAGCAGCGAGTCGACAAATTGTTCCACTGATGAGTGAGAGGTTTTGAGTCCAATTATTCGTCGACCAATGGGTAAATTGCCATCTTAGTTCATCGGCTCGATGAGTCAAGTTATGAGTCTACGTTATAGTGTGCTGACGTAAAAGTGAGTCGACTCGTAAATGCACTTTAGCGAGTCTACTTTTTAGTGCATATAATGAGTACTTAGGTCGACTTAGTAGTACATTTTTGTCGTGAGTCTGCTTACCTCTCGGCGTATGGTCGAGTCCAATCGTTGTTCTAGCTGCCTAGCGAGTGTCAGCGTAACAGCGAGTCAAAGTACTCATTCATTCTATGAATGATTCTCCTGTGGGTCGACTCGTTGGCAAAGTGTCAATGTTCTGGCGGGTCTGCAGGTAAGATTCGTCGCCGGTCAGTGACGCCGCTCTCCCGCTCACGTCCACGAACTCCTCTGTGTTCTGCAAAACAGAGAGCAAAGGGAGAAACAAAAACAACCCCACAGAGTGGGTCTCATGTGACGATGCCTTCCTCGCCTTGCGCCGCAGCCGAGTGGAATTGCTGGTGGCGCTGGTGGTCGCGGCGGCGGTGGTGGTGGTGGTGGCGCTGGTGGTGGCGCTGGTGGTGGTGGCACTGCTAGTGGCGCTGCTGGTAGTGGTGGTGGTGGCACTGCTAGTGGCGCTGCTGGTGGTGGTGGTGGCGCTGGTGGTGGTGCCAGTGGTGGCGCTGGTGGTGGCGCTGGTGGCGCTTGTGGTGGTGGCGGTGGTGGCGCTGGTGGTGGTGGTGGTGGCGGTGGTGACGCTGGTGGTGGCGCTGGTGGTGGCGGTGGTGGCACTGCTGGTGGCGCTGCTAGTGGTGGTGGTGGTGATGGCCACGCTCCACGTGGTTAACTAGAATCATGCGCCGTGGAGGCATAAGCTAGGGTTGGTGGATCTCGGCAGACAAATGTCGTGGAACTCCCTTCCCGTGGGTGGCCGTCGAGGAGGTGTCATATTCCTGGCTGTGCCACGAGAAGGCGGGGACAGCACAGTGTGGACTAATCGCCACCTGTTTCCATCAGTATGGAGGATAGAGCGTTGCCCCCTCGCACAAGGCGAGGGGGCTCCGGTTTCCTTCTCCAACGTGAATAATCAACACTGAAAACATCTTACAAATTAAAGAGTGATGCAGCAGTCATTAATTGAATACTTATTTCATTGATTAATGCACCTGGCTCTGCTCCTTTATCCCCACTTTGCTCTTGAGTTTGCAGCATTCTTTGAAACTGATTTTCATGCTTAGTTTGTTATCCTTCCCCCCACACCTCCAATTAGTATTGTTGGCTACGTACGGTGCGAAAGAAGTTCAACATACAAAGATCAATTTAAAGCTTTCGTGACTGCAATGATTCATCTTCTTTGGTTCTTTCGGTATTCTCATTCTACGTGACTTTACCGAAAGAACCAAAGAAGATACAAAGATCACCCGCATATCCTTAGCAGTCTGTTGGGGCAAGTGCTGTTAGCGAGCACCTATGAAGGCCGGCACGGCACGCGAGGGGGTGGGTGGCCAACACCACGCCCGGTTGCCTTTGTCTCTCCAGTGGCGATGCTTACACTTTGCACCAGGTACTCATTTGAGGCTGAGTCGACCTAGGGGAGGCCCAGGACCGGCTCAGATTACCGTCACGTTTGTTATTGTCCGTGAGCAAGAATCGAACCCAGGTGGCCAGGTTTGCAGCGCAGCGTGATAACCGCTACACAACCGCTCCTCATGTTCAGCATACGTACATACACGCACACGCAATCCTCTTGCCTTGGCCAACATAAGCACCCTTAATTGATCTCGTCTCTCCGTCTCATCCCTTGCTGCGCCTCTCAGTCTTTTGCCTCGCACCTCCGTCTGCGGAACTCTGGGCCCCTCATTATTCTCAAGCTTTCTGTCCGCATCGAGACTCGTCCCCACCACCACTGCCACAGGCGTGCGCTTCTCTCGTCTCGCCATCGATTGCCGCTACCTTCATCGTTTTTGCTCCGTCGCCAGATCGTCTCCTCTCGAAGACTATCCGCTCATTGTTGTGCCTTAGGAGCATATTAACAATCTCAGAATCAACATATTTTTTTTCCTTTCCTGGAGGAAATCTGATGGAGTTGTGAAGTTCATTTTCACAGATAGGGGTGGATCAGCAAGTTACATCAACAAAAAAGATATAATAAAAAATACGCGACTAAGATGGAGAAAAGTTCAATAATAAATATATAGATAAAGCATGGAAATACAAATTGCGCTAGTATATATAATATATACTACATTATATATAATGAAGTATATATACAACATTATACATACTATAGTATGAAGCATATATTATATTATATGTATATGCGTGGCATCTGTTCATCCCTTCTCACTATTTTTTTTTATTCAGATCAATACATCACGACTGGTCTAACTGCACTGCTGTTGACCTTGTTTGTAAATCTCGCAGGCATCCGCTTATCAGGAAAATCGATGATTACTCTCACGATGCACGCCTCCAATGTTGAGCGTGAGAATAGTGTGATTTGCGATGTACGCGGATCGTATGCACGTGTCCCCGATGGACTCATGGCATAACCGATCATTCCCGATGCGATGCACTTTCAAATCTAAATTGCAAACGCATTTCTTTAGAACTGCTTTTTGTGTTAAGTTTGTTTGATCAGCACTGTTGGCTACGCACGGTGCAAACTAAAGATCAGCATAATGCACCAGGACAAGCAGATAATACAAATGAGATACTAATAAAGAGACGGAGACAGTACGAACGAGATCGGACAACTGACACAAAACAGAACACAATACAAACAGCGAGATAGAACTCGACAACGAGATAAAGAGACAACAAGAACAACAACACGTGATCTAAAACAGGAAAATGTTCTCAATAAAATGAAAACGGAATATTGGTGTCCGTGCGATGTTTGAGTGAACACCCACACCGACGCCTCCATCAACGACAGCGATACCCCGTATCGCCTGAACAGACTGTTGGGGCAAGTGCTGTTTAGCGAGCACCTATGAAGGCCGACACGGCACACGAGAGGGTTGGGTGCTCAACACCACGCCCAGCCGCCTTTGTCTCCCTAGTGGCGACGTTCACACATCGCACCAGGTACTCATTTGAGGCTGAGTCGACATAGGCGGGGCCCTGGACCGGTTAAAATAATCGTCACTGGTGTTGGCTGTGAGCGGGAATCGACCTCGAGTCGCCGGTGTTTGTAGCGCAGCGCAATGAGCGCTACGCTGCCGCTCTTCACACGTCCCCATCACCACCACGAGCAGCAGCAGCAGCAACAACGGAGGGGCGAGGCGCTCAGGAGAATCGTCGCGACCTGTCAGAACCAGACGCGGATCTGGCCCCAAGAGCGACTCCCGTTGGCCAGCTTGAGCCAGGAGTTAAATTCCACATTGCGATGGCGGGATCCAGGCTGCCCATTGGACAATCACTGTTGAGTTCCGACACGATGCTTCCGGTTCGTTATTATCGACCATGGGTGGTGATTAACAATAGGACTGCGGTGAGCTCCGCCTGGGTTTTTTTTATTGGGAACTTATTGCGAAACGTGAGTCGATCAGGATAACGCCTGTGGCTGGGGTCACCGTCCAAAACGGGCCCTGGAACGCGCGACGACCCAACAATGCCCGATTCACAAACACGAAGGAGACATCGTCATCATCATCATCATCACAGCAGCGGTTAAATTATGCACCGCTCCGCTACTCCTGTTGCAATCGCCTGGATCAGTAACCACCTTGATGTTCCAATTAGAGCTGTTCATCTCAACATCATCATCATCAGCCACACGAAGAAAAATATCGCGAAATAGGTTGCCTGTGGTGCACAACCACAGCCAACGAAAACAACTCAATTCCCACCGCGTCAACACCAACAGCATCAGATCGGAATATGTATTCATACTGGAGGAATCCGATGAGCTATGAAGCTCTTTATCACAGATGTTCATTAGGAGCGGGAAAGAACGTTACATCAACAATATAAAATACATGATAGTAGTGCAAAGTACAAGAAATGTAAAACATCACAACACCGTATGTGTATTCATATTCTTTGGGTATTTCGGTAAAGTCACGTAGATAGAACAATAAAATAATTTAAAAAATATGGAAATAAAGTGAATAAAAAAATAATAAAACATATCACGACGTTTCGATCGCAATACGTGACTTTACCGAAAGACCCAAAGCATATGAATTCCTGCGGTCACGGAAACTTTAAGTCAAGATTTAACCGTATGTGTAGCCTTAAAAGAAAACCATATGTAACAGGCGACGTTTCGGGCAATGACCCTTCATCATAGCACATAAATAGGGAGGCCAGAGAAAGAGATCGAGTGGATAGTACGAGTTGGAGACTGCCCGTGTTTATACCACGGGGCCCCGATGACGAGACGAGTGCTCTGCTCACGGCAGCAGACGGACCCGCGATGAACGTTCGACAAATTTTGCCGCGACCACGCCAGACGCCCTCAACATCCTCGGGGCTACACAGCAGAGAACGTGGAGTTCGTACTCGGCAGGCAGGGAGATCACCTGGGTGTGCCAGGTGTCATAGACTTGCCACTGCCAGGTAGAGAGAGGAGATGTCGGAACAGCGAGAGATTTGTAGTTATCGGAAAAGGCATCATTTCCCTCCTAGCCCTCTTATCGCGTAGTGAACTTTCGGCGGGTTGATACTAATGACATCATATAACGTGAGCATCAACACAGAAGTAAAATACAAAGACCCCCCTTTATATCCCACACAAGCTGCTGGGGCAAGTGCTGTTAGCGAGCACCGAACGAAGTAAGGCACGCCGCACGAGCGGGTGATGCGAGCAGCACTACACGCTGGCCGCCTTTGTCTCCCCGGTATCGATGATTACACATCGCACCAGATACTCATTTATGACTGAGTCGACCTGGGGGGCGGGGGGGGGGCATGACCATTTCTTCATTAGAGCCAACGTCGGTGACAGATATCTGGACCGTTCCTGCGCCTCCTCTGGGTCAACTCGGCCTTATTTGAGTAACTGGTGCGACGTGCCAAGAGTGGCACAGGGGAGACAAAGGCGGCCGGGCGTGGTGTTCTGGCCACGCAACCGCCGTCAGGATGATTAGGTGCTCGCTAACAGCACGTGTCCCAGAAGCCTGCTGAAGGTTATTTGTATTTGGATAAATAGATGCACACTCGCACACACTCATATGTGCACACTTACCTACAGTGCGTTCACACGCACACGGATACCTACATACACTGAAACGTACAAAGACAAAGATCCCCCGTGTAGCATTCAACAGGCTGTTGGGGCAAGTGATGTTCGCGAAGATTTAAGGCCGGCACGGCACTCGATGGGGGTTGGTGGTCAGCGCCACGCCCGACCACCTTTTTATCCCCAATGCGGATGTTTACACAGCGCACGGAGGTTCAAAGAAGTTCGTCACCGATGCTGGGTGGCCGTGAGCCGGGAATCGAACCGCAGTGGCAGCGCGAGACTCGCCGAGCTTCGCGTGAACACAGAGCAGGAATTTAAAACCTTTTGTTCGGAAACGCCATCGACGATCCCTTTGATCAGCGTGGGGGGGGGGGGACTTTGACGACCAGCATCTGGGATGCCGAGTGCGGTGCGGAGTGAACAATCACAACCGCACACGGATCAACAGACGTCAGAAACGATTCGCAGGCGTTTTGCTCGTTATACCACGTGCTGTGCGCCATGATGCCCGACGTTTCGCTCCAAGTGTGTTTTTTAGGAGAATTCTGCAGAAAAGTTAACGCAAAGACAAATACAAAGACCCTCCCCCGCCGCCCCGCGTAGCCTTTACAGACGGTTGGGGAAAGTGCTGTGAGCGAGCAACACCTATGAAGGCCGAAAAAGGTGCACGATGGTGTTGTGTGGACATCACCACGCCCGGCCACCTTTGTCTTCCCAGTGGCGAAGTTTACACATTGCACCAGGTACTCATTTGAGGTTGATTCGACCTAGGTGAGGCGCAGGACCGGTTCAGATTACCGTCACGCGTGTTAGTGGCCATGGGCGGGGATCCGTAGCGCAGTGCGATAACCACTGCGCCACCGCTCCCCACAAAGTGAATGCACATTCATACATACACAGAGCAGGAAATTCGCAGCACGGTCAGCGTGAAACGTCGGACATCGTGCGGAACCACGCGCCTCCACAACGCGAGCGCGCATCGGAGAGCCGGAGGGGCACGACTGCCTCACTCAGAGAGAAGCTCATCATCACACAGCGGACATCACGACGAGGAGCAGCTGTAAACAGCACACCTTGCTACCCGCGCAACCAGCTGAGGATCCTGGCAGAAGGAAGGATGGCGACGGCGAGGCGCGCATTGGCAGTGACGGACGACCTCTTAACTTCGCATGGCCTTGACCTGGAGCCTTAATAATGCAGCCACAGCAGCGGCAACAACAACAACAGCAGCAGCAGCACCCACTGCAGAGCCAATGACAGCAGCCCCAGCCACAGGAATCCACCTGACCGAGAGGGCCCTGCCTCGCTATTTATACCGCGCAGAGCCACCCGCACCTCCCCCGTCACCGCTGCGTGACTCGCTCATTTGGAGAGGGCCAATTAGACGTTCTCCCGACTGCGAGGAGCTGCTATGGGAGGGGGGCGCGAGGGGTCTTGGGGGGAAGAGTTATTAGGGGTTGGTGGGGGCTGTGGGTGATGGGGCGGTTGGTGTGGGTGGGGGGTGTGGGTCGGGTTGAGGGGTTAGCGCGTAGCGCTGCAAACCCGGCCACCAGAGTTCGATTCCTGCTCACGGGCAACGCCAGTGGCGATTATCTGAATCGGTCCTGGGCCTCCCCTAGGTCGACTCGACCTCAAATGAGATAGCTGGTGCTGTGTAAACATCGCCACTAGGGAGACAAAGGCGGCCGGGTGTGGTGCTGGCCACCCAGCCCCTCGTGTGCCGTGCCAGCCTTCATAGGTGGTCGTTGGCTATACGGGGGATCTTTGTCTTTGGAGATGAGGGTGGGGGGTGTGGATGGCGGGGTGGGGCTGTGGGTGGGGGGTGTGGATGGCGGGGTGAGGCTGTGGGCGGGGGTGTGGATGGGTTCTGTGTGTTACGGGGTGGGGGCTGGGGTGATGGGGGTGGTGTGTAAGGGATATTTCGCCGTCATCAGCAAATCAGACTTACCAGAACCCTTACCCCAGGGGGAGGGAGGGGGGGGGCTATCACGCGTGGTAAACAAAGGCCGTGGTGCAACGAAACAATACCTTTGAATAAGTTCGATACGGTGTTTTTGTTTATTATATCTTGATTTGAAGCTTTCGTGACTGCAGGAATCCATACTTTCGGTAAAGTCGCGTAGGTAGAAACGTCGTGTTTTCTTTGATTACTTTTTTTCTGTCTACGTGACTTTACCGAAAGAACCATAGAGTTTGCTTATTATAGTTTTTGTACGGATTGCCTGGAATACAGGAGGCCGTGGGTTCGATCCTGACTCTGCTGTTAATTTGGAGTGCGCGTGCCTCACTCTCCCCGTGGTCGCGTGGATGTTTCTTCGGGTCCTCCGGGTTTTCCCTCCACATTTAAAATCAATCAACATGACGCGTTTAAAGTGTTCGACTACTGCATTACATTTCCACGTGATAAGCCACTTCGTTGAGCTAGCATTTGTGACCAGGTCGCTTAGTGGGCCTTACCTGGTAAAAAAAAATAGTTTTCAATTTAGTTTATTTGCTTTATTGGTTCCTGGAAATGTTTTGTTGTTGTTGTAGTTGTGATGACCCAGGTCGTCTCCTCTATCCTGGTCTCACCTGGTTCAATCAAAATCAACGAGACGACACTTGAAACGCCAAGCGGTCAGCAACAAACTGAACGATTATCAAAGTTGCTTGAATTGAGCGAGGACATTAAAACTTGGGGCTCGGGGGGGGGGGGATGATGGAAGAGCGAAAAATCAACGTCGAGCAGAGCGAGGGAAGAAGCGCTCTGATCTGCAGTGTGGCGAGTGGTTGGGTGAGTGGGCGAGCGAGTTGGTGAGTAGGTGAGAAGCTGAGTGAGGGAGTATGTGAGCGAGTAGCCGAGTGAGTTGGCGAGTGAGTGGGTGAGTGTGTGAGTGAGTAACCGTGTGAGTGGGTGAGTGTGTGAGTGAGTAACCGTGTGAGTTGGTGAGTGAGTGGGTGAGTGTGTGAGTGAGTAGCCGAGTGAGTTGGCGAGTGAGTGGGTGAGTGTGTGAGTGAGTAACCGTGTGAGTTGGTGAGTGAGTGGGTGAGTGTGTGAGTGAGTAACCGTGTGAGTTGGTGAGTGAGTGGGTGAGTGTGTGAGTGAGTAACCGTGTGAGTTGGTGAGTGAGTGGGTGAGTGTGTGAGTGAGTAGCCGTGTGAGTTGGTGAGTGAGTGGGTGAGTGTGTGAGTGAGTAACCGTGTGAGTTGGTGAGTGAGTGGGTGAGTGTATGAGTGAGTAACCGTGTGAGTTGGTGAGTGAGTGGGTGAGTGTGTGAGTGAGTAGCCGAGTGAGTTGGCGAGTGAGTGGGTGAGTGTGTGAGTGAGTAACCGTGTGAGTTGGTGAGTGACTGGGTGAGTGTGTGAGTGAGTAACCGTGTGAGTTGGTGAGTGAGTGGGTGAGTGTGTACCGGTTGAGCATGCAGCGTGGCGATGGATGAGACGACGCGGTCAGTGTCTGTCAGTCGGACTCCTTAACACGGGTTGAGCGATCGGTGAGAAAACGTTGACGGAAAAAAGAAAGGCCGGTGGCAATAGCGTTAGAAGAGTGATAGGGAAGTGACTGATCGCCGTTGAGTGAGTGTGTGACTGGGGAGTCTCGGCGAGTCCAGGATCATCAATCAAAACGTGAGAAGTTGTAAACACTCGACGGCCCACAAATAGCAAGTGGGTTCGCGGACCGCTAAGTATTGGCGGCCCTATGAGTGGTGTCCCCTCGAATGAACAATGAACGCGTTGCGGCGTTTCTCCGACGTCTTATTCACACAAAGCGAGGCGATGCTGATTGAAAATAACACTCTTATTTTTATTATTTTATCATTTCCCTTCTACGTGACTTTACCAATGAACGAATAATATGAATCACTGCAGTCACGAAATCTTTAACTCTGTAACCCTTCAAAAAAATATATATAATGGTCGACGATTGACATTAATAAGCATGATTAATATTACTTTGTATTGTTATGCAATAGATTTGTTGTGCTTGTGCACCTCTGCCGATCCAGAGGTCACCTGTTCAATTCGATCTCCCGGCGCGACAGGCAGTGTGTGGCGGGGTAAAGCGGAGGTATCCCCCACATCTTGCAAGACGTCTGGTTCTTCAGTTCTTCCTCTAGTGGCGTTTAGTACTGGCGATGGTGAGCTGTGTGGTGAGTTTCCTATTGGTTGTGATGGTGAGCTGCGTGGTGAGTTTACTATTGGTTGTGATGGTGAGCTGGAGAGGGAGTTTACTCTTGGATGTGATGGTGAGCTGTGTGGTGAGTTTACTATTGGTGGTGCTGGTGAGCTGTTTAGTGAGTGTACTATTGGTGGTGCTGGTGAGCTGTGAAGTGAGTTTACTATTGGTGGCGCTGGTGAGCTGCGTGGTGAGTTTACTATTGGTTGTGATGGTGAGCTGCGTGGTGAGTTTACAATTGGTGGTGCTGGTGAGCTGCGTGGTGAGTTTACTATTGTTTGTGTTGGTGAGCTGTGTGGTGAGTTTTCTATTGGTGGTGCTGGAAGGCTGCGTGGTGAGTTTAGCATTTTTGGTGGTAGTGAGCCTTGTGGTGAGTCTACTCTTGGTGGTGCTGGTGAGCTGTGTGGTGAGTTTACTATTGGTGGTGCTGGTGAGCTGCGTGGTGAATTTACTATTGGTGGTGCTGGTGAGCTGTGTGATGAGTTTACGATGGGTTGTGATGGTGAGCTGCGTGGTGAGTTTACTATTGGTGGTGCTGGTGAACTGTGTGGTGAGTTTTCTATTGGTGGTGCTGGAAGGCTGCGTGGTGAGTTTAGCATTTTTGGTGGTAGTGAGCCTTGTGGTGAGTCTACTCTTGGTGGTGCTGGTGAGCTGTGTGGTGAGTTTGCTATTGGTGGTGCTAGTGAGCTGTGTGGGGAATTTACTATTGGTGGCGCTGGTGAGATGTGTGGTGAGTTTAGTACTGGTGCTGGTGAGCTGTATGGTAAATTTACTATTCATTGTGATGGTGAGCTGCGTGGGAAGTTTACTATTAGTGGTGCTGGTTAGCTGCGTTGTGAGTTTACTGTTGGTGGTGCTGGTGAGCTGTGTGGTGAGTTTGTTATTGGTGGTGCTAGTGAGCTGCGTGGTGAGTTTGCTATTGGTGGTGATTTTGAGCTGTGTGGTGAGTTTACTCTTTGAGGTGCTGGTGAGCTGTGTGGTGAGTTTACTATTGGTGGTGCTAATGAGCTGTGTGTTGAGCTTACTATTGGTGGTGTTGGTGTGCTGCGTGGTAAGTTTACAATTTTTGGTGCTAGTGAGCTGCGTGGTGAACGTACCACTTGTGGTCCTGGTGAGCTGTTTGGTGAGTTTACTATTGGTGGTGATGGTGAGCTGTGTGGTGAGTTTACTATTGATGGTGCTGGGAGGCTGTGGTGAGTTTACTATTTTTGGTGATGGTGGTTAGCTGCATTGTGAGTTTCCTATTGGTGGTGCTGATGAGCTGTGTAGTGTGTTGTGAGTTTACTAATGGTTGTGATGGTGAGCTGCGTGGTGAGTTTACTATTAGTGGTGCTGGTTAACTGCATTGTGAGTTTGGAATTTTTGGTGGTAGTGAGCCTTGTGGTGAGTCTTCTCATGGTGGTGCTGGTGAGCTGTGTGGTGAGTTTGCTCTTGGTGGTGCTAGTGAGCTGTGTGGTGAATTTACTATTGCTGGCACTGGTGAGATGTGTGGTGAGTTTAGTACTGGTGCTGGTGAGCTGAGTGGTGAGTTTACTATTGGTTGTGATGGTAAGCTGCGTGGTGAGTTTACTATTGGTGGTGCTGGTGAGCTGTGTGGTGAGTTTACAATTGCTGGTGCTGGTGAGCTGTGTGGTGAGTTTACTCTTTGAGGTGCTGGTGAGCTGTTTTGTGAGTTTACTATTGGTGTTGCTGGTGAGCTGTGTGTTGAGCTTACTATTGGAGGCGCTAGTGAGCTGTGTGGTGAATTTACCATTTGGTGGTGTTGGTGTGCTGCGTGGTGAGTTTACAATTTTTGGTGCTGGTGAGTTGCGTGGTGAGCGTACCACATATGGTCCTGGTGAGCTGTGTGGTGAGTTTACTATTGGTGGTGTTGGTGTGCTGTGTGGTGAGTTTACTATTGGTGGTGCTGGTGAGCTGCATGGTCAGTTCACTATTGGTGGTGCTGGGAGGCTGTGGTGAGTTTACTATTTTTGGTGATGGTGGATAGCTGCATTGTGCGTTTCCAATTGGTGGTGCTGGTGAGCTGTGTAGTGTGTGGTGAGTTTACTATTGGTTGTGATGGTGAGCTGCGTGGTGAGTTTACTATTACTGGTGCTGGTTAGCTGCGTTGTGAGTTTACTGTTGGTGGTTCTGTTATGCTGCTTAGCGGGTTTACTATTGGTTGTGATAGTGAAATGTGTGGTGAGTTTATTATTTGTCGTGCTGGTGAGCTGCATGGTCAGTTCACTATTGGTGGTGCTGGGAGGCTGTGGTGAATTTACTATTTTTGGTGATGGTGGATAGCTGCATTGTGAGTTTCGTATTGGTGGTGCTGGTGAGCTGTGTAGTGTGTGGTGAGTTTACTGTTGGTTGTGATGGTGAGTTGCGTGGTGAGTTTACTATTACTGGTGCTGGTTAGCTGCGTTGTGAGTTTACTGTTGGTGGTCCTGTTAAGCTGCTTAGCGGGTTTACTATTGGTTGTGATAGTGAAATGTGTGGTGAGTTTACTATTTGTCGTGCTTGTGAGCTGCATGGTCAGTTCACTATTGGTGGTGCTGGGAGGCTGTGGTGAATTTACTATTTTTGGTGATGGTGGATAGCTGCATTGTGAGTTTCGTATTGGTGGTGCTGGTGAGCTGTGTAGTGTGTGGTGATTTTACTATTGGTTGTGATGGTGAGCTTCGTGGTGAGTTTACTATTAGTGGTGCTGGTTGGCTGCGTTGTGAGTTTAGCATTTTTGGTGGAAGTGAGCCTTGTAGTGAGTCTTCTCTTGGTGGTGCTGGTGAGCTGTGTGGTGAGTTTATTACTGGTGCTGGTGAGCTGTGTGGTGAGTTTACTATTGGTTGTGATGGTAAGCTGCGTTGTGAGTTTACTGTTGGTGGTGCTGTTGAGCTGCTTGGTGAGTTTACTGTTGGTGGTGCTGGTGAGCTGTGTTGAGCTTACTATTGGAAGTGCTAGTGAGCTGTGTGGTGAGTTTACTATCGGTTGTACTGGTGAGCTGTGTGGTAAGTTCACTCTTTGTGGTGCTGGTAAGCTGTTTGGTGAGTTTACTATTGGAGGCGCTAGTGAGCTGTGTGGTGAGTTTACAATTGGTGGTGTTGGTGTGCTGCGTGGTTAGTTAACAATTTTTGGTGCTGGTGAGCTGCATGGTCAGTTTACTATTGGTGGTGCTGGGAGGCTGTGTGGTGAGTTTACTATTTTTGATGATGGTGATTAGCTGCATTGTGAGTTTGCTATTGGTGGTAATGGTGAGATGTGTAGTGTGTGGTGAGTTTACTATTGGTTGTGATGGTGAGCTGCGTGGTGAGTTTACTATTAGTGGTGCTGGTTAACTGCATTGTGAGTTTAGCATTTTTGGTGGTAGTCAGCCTTATGGTGAGTCTTCTCTTGGTGGTGCTGGTGAGCTGTGTGGTGAGTTTGCTCTTGGTGGTGCTAGTGAGCTGTGTGGTGAATTTACTATTGCTGGCGCTGGTGAGATGTGTGGTGAGTTTAGTACTGGTGCTGGTGAGCTGGGTGGTGAGTTTACTATTGGTTGTGATGGTAAGCTGCGTTGTGAGTTTACTATTCCTGGTGCTGGTGAGCTGTGTGGTGAGTTTACTATTGGTGGTGCTGGTGAGCTGTGTGGTGAGTTTACTCTTTGTGGTGCTGGTAAGCTGTTTTGTGAGTTTACTATTGGTGTTGCTGGCGAGCTGTGTGGTGAGTTTACTATTGGAGGCGCTAGTGAGCTGTGTGGTGAGTTCACTATTGGTGGTGCTGGGAGGCTGTGGTGAGTTTACTATTTTTGGTGATGGTGGATAGCTGCATTGTGAGTTTCCTATTGGTGGTGCTGGTGAGCTGTGTAGTGTGTGGTGAGTTTACTATTGGTTGTGATGGTGAGCTGCGTGTTGAGTTTACTATTAGTGGTGCTGGTGAGCTGTGTAGTGTGTGGTGAGTTTACGATTTGTCGTGCTGGTGAGCTGTGTGTTGAGTTTACTTCGGTGGTGTTGGTGAGCTGCGTGGTGAGTTTACGATTTTGGGTGCTGGTGAGCTGCGTGGTAAGAGTACCACTTGTGGTCCTGGTGAGCTGTTTGGTGAGTTTACTATTGGTGGGGATGGTGAGCTGTTTGGTGAGTTTACTATTGGTGGCGCTTGTGAGCTGCAAGGTCAGGTAACTATTGGTGGTGCTGGGAGGCTGTGGTGAGTTTACTATTTTTTGGTGATGGTGGTTAGCTGCATTGTGAGTTTCCTATTGGTTGTGCTGGTGAGCTGTGTAGTGTGTGGTGAGTTTACTATTGGTTGTGATTTTGACCTGCGTGGTGGTTTTAATACTAGTGGTGCTGGGTAGCTGCGTTGTGAGTTTAGCATTTTTGGTGGAAGTGAGCCTTGTGGTGAGTCTTCTCTTTTTGGTGCTGGTGAGCTGTGTGGTGAGTTTAGTACTGGTGAGCTGTGTGGTGAGTTTACTATTGGTTGTGATGGTAAGCTGCGTTGTGAGTTTACTGTTGGTGGTGCTGTTGAGCTGCTTGTTGAGTTTGCTATTGTTGTTGATGGTGAGCTGCGTGGTGAGTTTACTGTTGGTGGTGCTGGTGAGCTGTCTGTTGAGCATACTATTGGAGGCGCTAGTGAGCTGTGTGGTGAGCTTACTATTTTTTGGTGATGGTGGTTAGCTGCATTGTGAGTTTCCTATTGGTGGTGATGGTGAGCTGTGTAGTGTGTGGTGAGTTTAATATTGGTTGTGATGGTGAGCTGCGTGGTGAGTTTACTATTGGTTGTGATAGTGAACTGTGTGGTGAGTTTACTATTGGTGGTGCTGTCGAGCTGTGTAGTGAGTTTACTATTGGTGGTGCTGGGGAGCTGTGTGGTGAGTTTACTATTGGTGGTGCTGGTGAGCTGCGTGGTGAGTCTACTCTTGGTGGTGCTGGTGAGCTGCATGGTGAGTTTACTATTGTTAGTGCTAGTGAGCTGTGTGGTGAGTTTACTATTGGTGGTGCTGGTGAGCTGCGTGGTGAGTTTACTATTGGTGGTGCTAGTGAGTTGCATGGTGAGATTACTATTGTTAGTGCTAGTGAGTTGTCTGGTGAGTTTAGTATTTGTGGTGATGGTGAGCTGTGTGGTGAGTTTTCTATTGGTGTTGCTGGTGAGCTGTGTGGTGAATTTACTTTTCTTGGTGATGGTGAGCTGTGTGGTTAGTTTACTATTGTTGGTGCTGGTGTGCTGTGTGGTGAGTTTAGTTTTGGTGTTGCTTGTACTGTAAGCTGTTTGGTGAGTTTACTATTGAGTTTACCAAATGGTGATTTTGTGAATTGCGTGGGGAGTTTAGGTCCGGTACTAGTGAGTTGTGTGGTGATTTTAAGATTGGTGCTAGTGAGCTGTGTGGTGAGTTTTTAGTACTAGTGAGCTGTGTGGTGAGTGTAGTATTGGTGTTGGTGGTTCTGTAGTAATATCGCTGGATGTCAACATGCTGGGTGCAGTCCCGGCCCTAGAGGGGCACGGCGTGCGATGTAGCGACATTGCGGATACCACGTTTGTTTGGGTGTAGTACCGGTCCTAGGGGGGCCCGGTGACTGCTGACTGATAGTGCTAGATGGCACCACGCTTTGCATGCAGTGCCGACCCTTCAGGACAGAGTTTGTGGGTGCCGGCCGGCCGAAGGATGAGGTTATTCGAGGCCATGGCACTCTGGTTGCCACGGGAGGACACTTTACTAGTTAAGTCTACAAAGGGGCCCCAAGATGGGGCTGGGGTGGTCACGTGATTGGGACCCAGATCCTTCCCGAGGAATCTGGAAGGTGGACGTGGCCAATTGTGGAGCCGGCCAAGCCACAGAGACTATAAGCCGGGTCCTGAGAAGGACCGGGGTTGTTGTTGTTCATCCTGGAAGAATACTTCGTCTGCGTTATCCTCAACGAGTCTCCAACACATGGACCCGGGGCGAAGCTCTTGGTCCCGGTCCGTAGTAGCAGTTACGTTGTAACTAGTGTAGTTAGCCTGGTGGTCACCACCTGGCTAACTACACCAGTCACGTTGTAACTAGTGTAGTAACTAGTGTAGCTCGCGTGGTGGTCACCACCATAGATTTTAACTCTGGTAAGGGGAAAGTTTCCCCGTGTGTTGGAACTGAAAAAATGCGTTGCCTCCAAGTCTACGTCTGCAACTCAGTTGAACACATTTCAGTTCCAACAAGAACTTGCACCCTAATATGTAACGACTGACGGTACCCAAAAAAGACTGGGGCTATAGGTTGGCCTTACCCTCTGCTCATGATACATCCCCGAATAAACTTAACAGACTGTTAGGGGAAAGTGCTGTTAGCGAGCACCTATTAAAGTCGGCATGACATACGAGGTGGTGGCTGGCCAGCAACACGCCCGTCCGCTTTTGCCTCCCAAGTGGCGATGTTTACACACCGCATGAGCTTCCCATGTGAGGCTGAGTCGACCTAGGGGAGGTCCAGTACCGGTGTTGGCTGTAAGTGGGGATCGAACTCAGGCCACCGGATTCATAGCACATGCATATACACACGCGCGTACCTGCATACACATGCATATACATTTTCACTTTATTGATTACCGTAAGACAGTCAATTCTGATAAACATTGCTTTTGCTAGAGGGACGTGATACGCTTATCTACAGAGAAGTGTGTGTGTGTGGCGGACTCGTTTGTAGTTGTCACCACATAACTCACCATTATTGTCCCGCTAAGAACATTTTTACCAAGAACGTGGAGCCACGTTAGGTTGCATTTCACACGTGACACATTGGAACTACGTATCGGTGCTCTTAACGGCACAAACGGCCGCACATTCAGTTCTTTTGAGCTGGTTGTCTGGATAAGACTGAGAGATGTTGTACATGCAGTGCTGCTGCGCAACGCTGTGTGTTGTTAAATCGCGTTAAACTTCCGCGAGAGGCGTCTGAGCAGAGTGAGGCGTCGTGTGTGACGGACAGCACGTCAAGAGAGAGACAACGAGGTTAGACGCATAGAGAGACACAGAGCAACATCAGCACGTCATCGTTTCTCTATACCTCAATCAGCTCAAGCCTCCTGTTAACCACGTGACTCCTTATGGCCACGCCCCCTGTGAAAATAGACGTTGCTCCTCCTCCGTGCAACTCACTGTTGCTCGCTCCTTCCTTCTAAATTCCGTCTCCTCGCATCATCATCGTCACCCTCTCATTGTCCCCAACATCTTGGTCCGGTAATTCCTTTTCTGCCCTCCTCAGAATAAGAATCAGAAAATGTATTTATACTGGAGGAATCCGATGATCTATGAAGCTTCTTTTCACAGATGTCCTCTTCCCCTTTCTACCCAGAGCTCCTTCTCCGTTCCTCCATACAAACGTTGTCCTTCTCAAGGAGTTCAGTCCGGGAATATTGCTCCCCCACACCCCCTCCCCCATTCCATTCCCTTCCTATCTGCAGCCTTTTCTCGGTACGCACTCCACTGCCCCTTCCCATGTTCGTGTGCCCCTTCCCATGTTCGTGCCACGTGCTTATAACATATTTGCGTGCACACTAAACAAATTATGAACTTTCACACTGGGCGCCGGTGACCGTGAATCTCCTGGCAGCCTAGTGCTTGGACAGCTCCAGGTGCCTGGCCTCTGCAGAGAAGAAGTCCAGGCGCAAGATCCGACCGAACGCCGTTCGGAACGGCCGATTGATGGACGCGTAGAGGATCGGGTTGACGGTAGAGCTGATGTAGCCGATCCAGCACACGACCTCATAGGCGGTGGACGTGTTCTTGTAGAAGGGAAACACGATCACCAGGATGTAGTATGGTAGCCACGACAGCATGAAGCACCCGATGATGCTGCCCAGGGTCTTGGCTGCGTTGTGCTCTCGTTTCATCGTTGATTTCCAGCGCTTCGCCGCTTCGTCACCATCACGGCCACCACCAGAACTAGCACCGTTGGCCACCTCAACCCTCTGCGCATGTATGGGCACGCCAGCTGTGACCCTCCGTGCTTGCCTCCTGGCCACGCGGTATATCTTGGAGTAGATCAAGAGGATGATGAACATTGAGAGGAAATAGGGGCACATGCCGTAGGCGAAATGCAGCCCCAGGTCTACGGTGAACATGCAGCTGTCCGGACAACCCCCTCGCTCGATCGTGCCCCGAGACAGCGTGGGGCTCAGGCTGAGCAACGTCGGGGTGGTGAAGATCGCCGCGCCGATCCAGCAGAGCGCCAGCATCACGGCGACGGTGCGGTCCGTGACCCGCGTCGGGTAGCGGAGCGGGTCGCAGATGGCCACGTAGCGGTCGTAGGCGATGCAGCCCAGGTGAATGATGGAGGAGGTGGTGAGCGTGTAGTCGAGGAAGTAGTGCAGGTGGCAGAAGAAGGAGGCGTAGAACCAGCACTCGTAGACGGCGTGCATCATGCTGAAGGGCATGATTAGCAAGCCGATGAGGAGGTCGGACACAGCGAGCGACAGCGCCAGGGTGTTCGCGTGCGTCTGCAGCTGCCTGAAGAAGGCGATGGCTACGATGATGAGGAGGTTGCCGAGGATTGTGGCTATGATGAAGAAGATGATGATGGCCAGCGTAAGGGCGCGGTCCTCCTCGGACAGACTGGGCCCGGTACAGTTGTAGTACTCGTAGTGCAGGGAGCATGGTGAGCCCGTTGTGGAGTTGTCCATCGTCCAGCGAGCAGCCGTGGGAACACGGCGTTGGGCTGTGTGAGACTGTACGGTACGTATGGCAGTAGATCAAAACATGTGCTGGTGTGGTATGCGTTACGTGTAAGTTGTGTTGATACGCGCTCGCGTTTTTGTCGCAATGCATGTGATATTAGAAGATCTGGACACCCAGTGCGCAAGTGGGCAATCAGAGATTCTCGCTCTCATGTCTGTGCGCGACTCGCGCTACGAATTCCAAACGACGGAGCATAGAACATCGCCCTGCCTGAACTCTAAACGTGCTGTGGTGGGTGGGTGGGTGACCGGGTGAATGGATGGGTGAGTGAGTGGGAGAGTGGATGGGTAGGTGGGTGACAAAATGGGGAAATTGGTGGGTAAATTTGTGAGTGCATGGATAGGTGAATGGGAGAATGAGTGAGTGGGTTATGGAATGGGTAAATAGGTGGATAAAATGAGTGGGTGGGTATGCAACACGTGTGTGCGTGTATGTTTGCCACTTGAACGTTATGGCAGTACCCCGGGGTACCATAATACCCCGGCTCTCGCATAATGTCCGTGATGCAGTCATTTTTAGTCTGTTGATGGTCGGCGATGCGTCAATGGACTCATCTCGACGAGCTGTACACGACGCACTATGGTGCGTACGAACGTTCAAGGTTTCAGCGCAACCGTCCTCGCTGCGTTTCGACATCGCGGAGAAGCACTGATTTCGGGTTGATTGGTACCTCAGTCGCGGAGTTAAGTACACCCCTGGAAAAAAAATAGTGTCCCAGAAATAAAGTATTTAATTGCCTCGGCCATTTTGCATTATTTTGTACGACGGGGTACCGCCATGAGGACTAATTGTGGGGAGCGGCGGTGTAGCGGTTATCGCACTGCGCTACGAACCCAATGACCCCAGTGTCGATTATCTTAACCAGTCTTGGGCCTCTCCTAGGTCGACTCAGCCTCAAATAAATGCCTGGTGCGGTATGTAAACATCGCCACTAGGGAGACAAAGGCGGCTGGGCGTCGTGCTGGTCACCCACCCACTCGTATGCTGTAACGGTCTTCATAGGTGCTGCTCGCTAACCGCTCTTGCCCCAAAAGTCTATTCAGGCTATATGGGGGAACTTTGTCTTTGCATGCCTTCATAGCTACTCACAGCACTTGGTGCAATATTGTACCGCTCTGAATCTGTTGATTGTGTGTATGCCTTTGTACATAATGCATGCTCGCTAGCATCCCGAACAATATGCATTTGCAAATGCATGTACTTATACATGTAATATTCATCTTCTTTGGTTCTTTCGGTAAAGTCACGTAGAATGAGAATAAAATAATAAATTGATAAAATAAAATAACATAACACAATAATATTCTCACGACGTTTCGGCCACAACACAAGCGGCCTTCATCAGGTGAAGGGGCGAGACTGTCTGGTAGGACAGCGCTGGAGTGAAAGAGCCACGTTCAGATCACGACCTTTAAGTGGCTCTTTCACTCCAGCGCTGTCCTACCAGACAGTCTCGTCCCTTCACCTGATGAAGGCCGCTTGTGTTGTGGCCGAAACGTCGTGAGACTATTATTGTTTTACGTTATTTTATTTTATCAATTTATTATTGTATTCTCATTCTACGTGACTTTACCGAAAGAACCAAAGAAGATGAATCATTGCAGTCACGAAAGCTTCAAATCGAAATGTAATATTCACTTAAATATTGATTTTATTCATTTTCAAAAGCACTGGACGCCTTTTTGACCAATGTTCGGACTTTAGTTACGGTTTTTTCGTTGTCACGTTGACAGGTGCCGGGTCAATATGGACTTGAGCACCAATTCACATTCTCGTTGAGTGTCGTCGCAACAGCAACAAAAAATAACGAAGACATATATATTTTTACGTGCAGAGACAGAACTGGAAAACACATCGAAGTATATATTGTCTTCCATGATAGTAGTTTTTTGGGTTAGATCACGTAAATATATATGTGGTGATAAGCCCGCCACCACCCGATACAGCCAATTAGTAAGGGTTGTCACGTAAACAGAGCCTGATAATTCGTTAATAGTACAGCACACCGGTGTGGTGTGTGAGAGAGCCAAGCCACAACATTTACAATCTGAATATAGATTTGAAGTTTTCGTGGCTGCAGGGATCCATACTCTTTGGTTCTTTAGGTAAAGTCAGCAGTTGTTTCTTGCTGTGGTTGTCCCACCTGATGACGGACGCTTGCGTTGCGCCCGAAACGTCGTGATTTAATTAATTTTATACCTACATGACTTTACCGCAACAACCAAAGAGTATTTACAATCTGAGCACGACGTTTCGCCAATAATTACTACTAGCTTTTTCAGGTGACAGGCATATGTGTGGAGAAATCCTCCTGTTCCGTTCCTTAAAAAAATAGTTTTCCGTGTTAAACTGATGTATTGTCTTGTCTTCAGCCATCCTCTATCCGAGAGTTGGCCGGACCACGGGTATTCCTTCGTCACTGACTTCTATCTTCTGCTATTCTCATTGTCTGTTCCAGCATGAGCCCCATCCGTGCTATGATGTCATATATCCATTATACGTATATTTTTTGATAGATATTTATTTAGTAATACCTCGATTTAAGTCCCTCCTCTTTTACATCGTTTCGCAAATACGTTGACGCTTTATTCATACCACAACCTGCTTTGCGTCGCCCCAACCCACACTTAGGTCGCTGACAGCATCGTCCGTCCTTTCTCGTAATCTCCTCCACCTACCCTGTATATCGCTTTGATTTACGTCGTTTCGATGTTTGTCGCACATTTCACGAACGTATCGCCGATGTAAACGGGGGTATTAATGTAGAAGGATGCACTGACGAGATAGAGGCAAGTGACAATGCGTTCGAGTGCTGTTTGATAACCGAGTTCCATAGTGAAAAGTGACCAATTGTGCCGATTAATGAATATATATTTACGTTTCTAATATATGTATATTAGCTGCTGTCACATTTATCGGAGAGTTATGTTTGAATGAAATTCGTTTCGAGGAATGAAGATATGCGTGTTTTTAATTACATTGATAGCCAGGCAGAGGAGAACGTGGATTAGATGACACACGCAAGTTAACGTCTTCAGTCAAGCTCTTAAGAACAGTGAGTGAGGCTTGGGCAGAATGCGTCATGGCTAGAAGACACGATGGGCGACGGTCAGGGATAATAACGGAGTGGCGGTCAACGGATTGAACGCGTCGGAGAGAGTACGTACACCTCGTGAGATGGAGCGATGAAATCATCTCGTGTTCAGATGCTGGGCGGATTAACGCATCATGATGGTGAGATGTGGCTACGAGGCCTTCATCCAGCAGTGGATTGACCATGACTAATAATGATGATAACTCGTGTGTTCAAAGCGCACCCCAGTCAGATCGTCAGCCACCCACCTGAACACCTCGTCTCTCTCAGTCGCCACTCCGCGGTGAGCGATGCTTCAATATTTATGAAGCCTGGAACACGACGATATAAATAGGCCCCATGGCGAGCCCTAGCGAATCGCTTAATAGCCTCGGAGGACCAATCCAATTAAGCCTAATGATTCACACAAACCAGCGCGTCGGGGATTTATTGGGGGAAAACTCGGTTTATAAAAAAAAAATTACGGGATTCGTTCATGGGGGAGGGGAGGGCCCTCGAGACAGTGCCCTAGAATATCGTTGTTGTTTGGTGTGCGTTATTTGTTGGTAATTTGTAATGGGCATCGGAGTGGCGAGATGTTAACTACCTTGGCTGGTATACAGGACGTCGTGGGTTCGGTCCCGACCATGACGCCGGCATTTTTGGAGTTTTCTCTCTCCGTGGTCGCGTGGATTTTCCTTCGGATCTTCCTGTTTTCCCCTCCACGTTTAAATTAACATGCCTTTAAAAAAAATTGGCTGCAGTAAATATGCACGTGATTGATAAGCCACTTCGTTGAGCTATTATTTGTGGCCAGGTCGCTTCTGAAAAAAATAGCTATATACAGTGAGGGAAAAAAAGTATTTGATCCCCTGCTGATTTTGTGCCTATGCCCACTGACAAAGAAATGATTTTCTATAATTTTAATGGTAGATTTATTTGAACAGTGAGAGACAGAATAACAACAACAAAATCCAGAAAAACGCATGTCAAAAATGTTATAAATTGATTTGCATTTTAATGAAGAAAAAAAGTATTTGACCCCTCTGCAAAACATTACTTTGTACTTGGTGGCAAAACCCTTGTTGGCAATCACAGAGGTCAGACGTTTCTTGTAGTTGGCCACCAGGTTTGCACACATCTCAGGAGGGATTTTGTCCCACTCCTTTTTGCAGATCTTCTCCAAGTCATTAAGGTTTCGAGGCTGACGTTTGGCAACTCGAACCTTTAGCTCCCTCCACATATTTTCTATGGGATTAAGGTTTGGAGACTGGCTAGGCCACTCCAGGACCTTAATGTGCTTCTTCTTGAGCCACTCCTTTGTTGCCTTGGCCGTGTGTTTTGGGTCATTGTCATGCTAGAATACCCATCCACGACCCATTTTCAATGCCCTGGCTGAGGGAAGGAGACTCTCACCCAAGATTTGACGTTACATGGCCCCGTCCATCGGCCCTTTGATGCGGTGAAGTTATCCTGTCCCCTTAGTAGAGAAACACCCCCAAAGCACAATGTTTCCACCTCCATGTTTGACGGTGGGGATGGTCTTCTTGGGGTCATAGCCAGCATTCCTCCTCCTCCAAACACGGCGAGTTGAGTTGATGCCACAGAGCTCAATTTTGGTCTCATCTGACCGCAACACTTTCACCCAGTTGTCCTGAATCATTCAGATGTTCATTGGCAAACTTCAGACGGGCATGTATATGTGCTTTCTTGAGCATGGTGACCTTGCGGGCGCTGCAGGATTTCAGTCCTTCACGGCGTAGTGTGTTACCAATTGTTTTATTGGTGACTATGGTCCCAGCTGCCTTGAGATCATTGACAAAATCCTCCCGTGTAGTTCTGGGCTGATTCCTCACCGTTATCATGATCATTGCAATTCCACGAGGTGAGATCTTGCATGGAGCCCCAGGCCGAGGGCGATTGACAGTTCTTTTGTGTTTCTTCCATTTGCGAAAAATCGCACCAACTGTTGTCACCTTCTCACCAAGCTGCTTGG